TCATTCAATAAGACATGATCCTTCTTCTTTTCAATTCTGTGCTTAAACACATTTTGAAAAACCTGTTTGGAAAGAGTAGTCCATATCTTTGGGTAACAGATTACCCAAGACCTAGAGATCAGCATCTCTGAATTCTCGTACTTTAATATTGGCGTGTGATTTCTGTTTTTTCTTGTTTTTTTTTTTTCTGGTAGATGGTTGTAAATCAGGTTTATGAAGAGGAAACTCTCTGTAATTGTGCATTTTTAATGGATTTATGATAAAACCATCAAAGTGGAGGGTCCATATGGTAGGAATGCAGTAAAGGTAACAGGCACAGTGTCACGTAAACATTAAATCCAAAGCCTTCCGCCTTCATAAATCCTCGATGCTTGTGATTAAATGCTGCTGGTTATAAATTATGCAACCAAACTCTAGAAACAACTACAACTTAAATAAGACACCAGTGGGAACCTTCAGTTGTCTACCGGCTTCCTTTCCTAGCAAACTGTTGTATTATTTTTAGGAAATAATATTCAAGTCCCCATTTTCCTTAACAATTGTTTTCTCACTTTACTGAACTTCCTACAGTAAGCTTTCATCATGGTTAAAAAGTAATAATACAGACCTTTAATTCTAAACAATAATCTTTCATCTTTATGGGGTAAAGTGCCTTTTTGATTTGCACACTCTTTTTAAAGCTTTTTGTATCTGATCTATCTATCTATCTTTAGGACTCTTAAGATTTTGCTCCATTTTGAGTCATATCAGAAGTTTCTGCAAAGGCCCAATTTCACACTGGTACTTACAATCAAATTATTTTATTACACATGGAATCAATTAAACATTCAGCCTTCAGCTGTAAACAATTACTATATGCAATGACATTTGTGGAGTTTTCTTAAATAGTCATGTATTTCTAATGCCCTCTGTTGAAATGAGTGAGATTGATGTATGTGTATTTTGTGGACCCATAAGTGATTATATTCCCAAACATAATATCAAACAAGATTTTTCCCCTAGAGGGTGCCCAGCAGAGTCTGATATCACCTGTAGTGATACCTTTGAGGCAGTTCATTTCTCTTCCACCTTCATTTTACTCCCGTTTCCATTAAATTCTGAAGCCCTAGCAAGGGCTTCCTAGCAAGTTGTCCACTTGCTAGGTTGGTATTCCTAGCAAGAAGCAATTGCATTTTTGCATAACATGTCTTCGTAGAGTTTGGGGGTATCTAATTCTAATGCATTGGTATTCGTGCTGCCAGTGGCAGAGAGGCAGACGGAATGAAGAGCGATACGACGGAGTAGACTGAGGCTTGAGTTTCAACTCTGCCAATTCTAGCTGATGGCCTTGGATGATTTACTTTTTTTCAGCTTAGTTTTCACATTTGAAGAATGCTCATAGTTATATCTAAATCATAGGACTCTTGCAAGTGTTAAATGAGATAAGGCACATATTACATATTACATGCTGATTTCTCTGTTGTCTCCCACACTTTTTTTCTGGAAAGGCTCTGAAGCACAGTGGCTTTCCATTTTGAGACTATCCAGCCTTTGTTGTCTCAAGTTTAGGGATACATTTTCTTTGCACTAGACTCCCCTTTTCTCCAAGTGACAACCATGGGGGAAGCTCACAGCTGTTTTACTTACGTTCAGAAATAAGTCCACCAGTCCCAGTTGCAAGGGTCCCTAACAGCTGTATCCAGCCTTTCTAGGAGGCCAGCACTGGAGCTGAGTGGTAATGTTTCAAGGGCAAAGCTCTAGATGTAAAGAATGATAAAACAAACCTAAATGAGCCCGAGCACATCTAGTGACAGACACACCCCAGCTATTCTAAATTATTCAGGCTTTCTCAGACTTCTGACAGGGGAAACACAATTCATTTCTGCTCTCCTTTATTCTAGTATCCTATAGTGGCTAAGAAGAAAAAAATACTCCCCCCTGCCCCCCCCCCCCCCCCCCCCAAAAAAAGGAAATCATAGTAATCACCAAAATTGAGAAGAGTTTCTTTAGCACATGTAATATTTTTAGAACCTTCCAAATTCTGGGAACCAGCTTTGGAGGTAGAAGTTAAAAATGATTTTGCAATGCTTTGGGGTGATTTCCTTACTTCCCTTTTGTTAGCATTTTGTTGGCAAAAAGCCAGTAAAACAGTTGTTTAATCAAGCTTCTGAACATCACAAACATGTAACCTCTTAGATAAGCTGTTATTGTATTTTAGCAGCAATACTAGGGTCAAAAGTAACAAAGAAAATTAAGCTTCAAATAAGCAAACCTCAAAAGAACAGCTTTGTGTATTGAGAGTAATTAATAACTTGTTTAGGAAAATGTTACTGAAATGTGGTTTTTGGACAAGGAACTAACACTCTTCAGAGGTTAGATACCCTAATATTTAACAGGCTACCATTTGGTGGGCTGGCTGGCTGGTTACCCTGTAGGCATGGCAAAAGTTTGTTCACATGTAATTATGGAACATTTAGACAATATCTTAATGATACCGTGGAGTTCAGCTGGATCAGCCCAGCTGGAAATTGCAGCAGCGTTCTGATTACCTGGCCACATGTGAAATCAAGGCTTTTTCAACCTCTACTTTTCACGTGCAATGTCTTCATACAGATGTTCTTGAAAAGCCTAAATTATTTACTGTTTGACATTATTTAACAGAGTGAGGCCCTCCCCCTTTCATTTCCAGCCACTCATTAAGATTGCATTACTTTATAAGATATTGTAATTTTAACAAGAACTGTTAGTATACTTCATCATCTGGAAGAGATGTTAGTCCATTTGGACAGTTAGGATGAACATTTCCCATGCTTGTTTCTAAGCAATGAAAGTTGTATACTTTTTCTCTTTGCAGATAATTCTTAACTGTAAAAACGTAATTCTGTGTGTACCCTGAAATCATTTTACTAAACCATTAATCACACAGTGATTGTTATTTTAGAAATTAGTAATTTCAGTTGCATAAATAAACTAGTGTGGACTGGTCCTTGCAGCACATCGTAAAGACACTTACTTAACACATAACAATAGCACAATCCAGTTAGTGTCAAAAAAAGAAAAGAAAGTTTGCTCAAGGGTAGCACGCCAAAATTTTATTATATTTCTCTGACTTATCTTTATGAACTAAAAATACAAAAAGAATTTCAGTCCATGGATACCATTTATTTAACCTCTCAGCCCACTCTTCAGTGAAGGACCACTTCTTCCCCATGGCCCTACCTGGATGGCAACACACCTACTGAACAAAGTGTCACATTTTTCATCAACCAAAGCATCTATAGGGAGAGAACCTAGGGAATTCAGGCAACAGTTGAAGAAATCTTTATCATAAATGACATTAATTCCAGCCACTTTCTATACATCAGAATGGAAAGCATGTATAGGCAATGAGCTTTTAACACCTTTAGTATTAAACGTAAAATGGAATACTTCAAAATCCCTCTACAACTATTATTACTTGTAAACATACTGCTAATTTTAGTAAATGGAAGCAGCAGCTAAGGAAAAACAGCAGTTAACGTTGAATGTATGTGAGCCCCCAAATAAGAAAACGAAGTCTTCATTCTTGTCAATCTCTATTTAAAAAGAAACCGCTAAGCTCTGGTTAACTGTTTTTCCCATCCCTACCAGACACTTTCTGGGCCAAGGGATCTTGAAATGTTCACCCCATGTACTGAAGTTAACTGGCAAACGTGGTTCAAATTCCCAAACAGCTGACACAAAAAGGTCCCTATAAGAGGTGATATGAAAGTACATTGAGATGATGCTAACTGGTCATTAAAGACGTTGAAATGTCTTTGTCTACCATCTGCAGTGTGCCACTGTGTGGCCTCGCGACCCTTTCAAACAGCCATCAGTAGACCTGTTTCCACGTCTCACCGTGGAAAGGGCCTCGGAAGGGGAGCCAGCAGAGTCGCCCGGCTTCGCTGGACCGATTCAAGAAGAGACACAATGTCCACCCTCCCCTTCTAGCGCTCCCACCCCTTCCCTGCCCACAGCCCTGCGAGGAAGAAAGAAGAAAAGGAGCTGAAGAAGCAAAGAAAGAAAGGAAAACAGGGGAAAGAAATCCAGAAATCCAGGGCATAATTGGAATAAGGAGAAAAACCTCATCCTACACCATCAACTACATACAGCCATGGAAACAGACTTGTGACTTTTACTTTGAAAATAGAAGAATGACAATGGAATTTGTGTGAGGTCTGTGTGAATCCAGCCCCAGATGTTCACAATGCTGTAGTAGTAGGGCTCTGCAATATGAGCGGTTTCCGAAGAAACGGTACAACAGGACACCACAAAGCAGCGCAGATGCTATTGACAACTCAGACAGGAGCATCATGTTACCAAGAGAGAAGGCAGGCCCAAGACTAATAGCGGTGCCGGAAAAGCGGACTTCGTGGACTGCAATCACTCAAGCCAACATGAGGGGACCCCCCCCCAAAAAAAATCAAAACCAGAAAAACGCTTTCGCTCCTATCTAGAGAGAGGTGGTGGGGTAAAGGGATGGGGGTGGGGAGCGAGGGGAATTGACTTTTCTTTCTTAAATAAAGTTTCCATAAAGCCCCTATAATTGACAGCGGGTAATTATTTTCAGCTTGAGGAAACTGTCCCAAAACTCTTAATAAGATTGCCAGCGAAAAGAAACAAAATGTGTTTACTTGAGCCATTTCCAGAAGGGAGGGGAAGGGGACCTTTGCATGAGGTAGGGACGGGCGATGGAGAGGGACGGGGCACCCGTGCGCGGCAGCCACTCTCCGGTGTCCTGCGAGCAAGTGACACGCCAAGAGACAGGGCGGATAGGGTGACAGGGAGGGGGGGCGTGGAGGGACCCCGCAGGGAGGGGTGAGCCGCACAATGTATACACGGGGCGGGGGGGGGGGTGATTTAGTGTGAAAGTATTCCACTTAATCATTTTACAGGGGTTGGGGACGTAAATATTTAGCTGGCCACATCTGGAACAGATTTCCCCCCTTGCGGGGTGGGGGTGGATGACTGGAGGGAGGCAGCGCACAGTTGTTACTTACTGTACGGGCAGTTCTCCTTCTTGGTACCGCTGACCTTCCCGTTCTTCTCGATCTTGAGAAAGTACTTGGTGAAAGAGAAGAGCTTTCTCCAGCGGACATCTCCTTGGAGGTGATTGTAGCTCCGCACATGCCTCCCGGCACTGGGGGGAGAGGAGAAGGAGGAGGAGGACGACGACGACGAAGAGGAGTTGGTGGCCTCTGGTGACACCATGTCCTGACCGAGGGCTTGGCAGGTGACAGGGATGGAAGACACCAAGAATAGCAACAAGAAGCAGCAGCAGCAGCAGCCGGGCAGGTGGGGAAAGGCTGAGGCACAATGTGTCAGTATCCATTTCCACATTGTACTGAAACTCTCGGCTCTGGAAATTGTCTTATCAGAAGGAACATACTGGAAGGGTGAGACCCGGTGCGCGGCAGGGAGACAGCTGGAGGTGGCGGCCGCTGGTTAGCTCCCTCCGGGTGCGGATCTGGCCAGCAGGGAATGCACCACCATCCATAACTCCGCGCAAGGGCCGCTGCCTCTCCTCGCTCCCGTCCGGGATCCGCTGGGCGCCCCTGCAGGCTCCGGGGGGATGGTGGGCGAGGGTGGGTGGCCGCAGTCCCGGGGGCTGTTCGGAGGCGGTGGTGCAGTGGGTCACCAGCGATCTTCACTCCCCCAGGAGTTACTTTGTTCTCTTCTTCACTCCTTTCTTCACCATGTTAGACGAAAAGAAAAGAAAAGAAAAGAAAACAAAACAAAACAGTCTGAAAACCAGATGACAGCCCGGTGAAGGAGACGCGCGGAGGCTGGCGCGGGAGGCTGCGCAGCGCTCCGCCGGCCGCGGTCGCCCCGCCGGTCCCTCTCCGCCGAGCCCCAGCCCCTAGACGGCTCCCGCAGGCGTCCCTCCTCCGGAGCTGTCAGGGCTGGCGGCGGCTGCCCGGTCACCGGCCGCTGCTCTCGTCTCCCTCTCGCTTTCTCCTTTTGGTGGTGCCTGTGGATGCGAGGTCTGCAGAAAGTCACTTCTTGTTTGGGGGGGACGGCAGTTGGGCAGTTGGTGTTTTGTTTGGCCCTGTGTCCCTCCCCCCCTCCTGTGCGAAGCCGGCTTGTAAACAGGTTGAAGCCCGGAGTCTAAATGTCAGTGATTCTCAGCCAGAGGTGGGCTCTGCGTCTGCTGGTCAAACCTCATTTGCAGGGTGGAGAAGCAGGGGGAGGGGGTCAAACGGCGGTGGGACATCTGAAACCCCGGGCTGCTGGGAACGCCAGGGAGAGGGCGGGGGGCGGGGGCCGAGAGTGGGGAGCCGGAGCGAGGGAAGGGCGCGCGCCGCCTCTGCGGGGCTGGGGGGCCGCGGTCCGCTCCCCGCGCCCGGCGGCGCAGCCTCCACCCCGCTGCGCCTGCAGCGCGGCTAATTGCCGCCGCGGCGCCCTGCGCTCCCTGCGCAGGCCACCAGCGCGAGCCTGTCCTCGGGCTTTCCCGATTCTGCTGCCTTCCAGCCGGAACCAATCCCCTCCGGGGAGCCCCTTTCTCACTTGTTTTCCTGCGTAGGATTTTTTTTTTTTTCTTTTCCTTTTTTTTTTCTTTTGGCAGCGAAGTACTTGAGAGCCACCTGGAGCCTGGTGCTTGGCTGACTTTTTCCCTCCCCCTCTCGCTCCTAGAAGGAGGGGAAGGCGGTGGGAGCGAGCAGAAGATGCTGAGGGCGAGCTCTCCAGACCCGCAGATTATAAACGGGTCGAAGCGAGCACAGAAAAGGGAGACATAATTAGCTTCCTTTCCTCCGCTCTGCCAGCTTCCAAGGAGGTCTCTGCTTTAATGAGTCACTGATTTCTCCTTCCGCTGCGGGAGTAAAAAGTTCACACTTGGGCCCTCTCTGCCTTTTAAACTCAGGGAGCGTAAAAGTTGCCTGTCGGGGCGCAAATGAAAGCCGGGGCCCGGATGACGGACGGATTTGCAATCGCTCACCTCAGTCCTTGACTGAACCGCGCGTGCACTTCAAAGCGAGCTCACTTTATTAGGACTGCGAAGATTTAACCACCCAATTTGGCCAATATTCTGCTGCTCTCTTTTCCACGCAATTTCCTTTGCACTTTGCCATAAAGGGGTGTTTTCTTTTTTTCTGTCTTCAAACTGAACGTTTTGAAGAGCTCTGTTTTACAAAGTAACTGCGCTGCCCGTCTCTGGCTGTCTCCCACTCACCAGCCCACGACACGCTCGCCGCCAACAGACACTTGCGTGAAAACCCAGGCGTAGGCACAACCCAGTCCTCAGTCAGGGACACCGTGGCCAAGAGTTAGAGTCCCTGGAAGAAATACTGGGAGTCCCCGTTCCAATCGGAGTAACAGACAGCTCCCGAAGGGTCGCTTCTTTAAGAATCAGTCTCTCCTACGGAAAGCTTGCCTGGGAGGAGGGGCTCAAGATGTATTGGTATAAAATATTGATACTTTGTAAAGCAGTTGGACCTTTGTGTTCAGTTGAACCATGTGAAATTGCCAATACTTTATGGTTTCTCATCTAAAACACTGGCAATTTCATATGGTCCGACCTAGTATTTCAGCTGCTATTCTAAGAAGAAGAATCACTTCAAGGTGAACTTGGGAGTTCGACCCCTACAACTGCAACTTGGAGGCACCTAATCAGAAGAGCTTGTGCGTGTGCAATAAGCTAGAATCCCTATGCTGGGTATTTAGCCTCGATCTTCACTGTGAACAGGAGAAGAAAGAAGTAAAACAAACAAACAAACAAACAAACAAAAACACCTCGCCTTTCAGGTGGGCATCCAGAATGATTGCCCAATTATGTTGTTTAGTGACCTGAAAAATGACTTTACATGAATACTCCTATATTTTCCTGTGCGTTCAGAACCTTTGAAACAGAAGCATTCAAAACTATAATCAGAGGTTTTAACTGCATGATTTATAAGCCATTGCAATGTGTATTGAGAAGATTTTGACAATGGGGTGAATACCACATTTTAAAATTTAAGTGTAATATAATTAGCTCTGATTTCTGTAACTATTAATTGGAGAGTTAAGCAAATAAACAATATACGTCAAACAAATCTTGTTCTTTCATTGCAGCATGGATATTTAAAAATGAACTCAGAGTGCTAATTTCAATTTTCTAATTCACAGTTTTCTAGTTGAGCTGACAAATGCCTGAAAGAGAGTGTAGTGTTTCTAAGGAACTAGAGTTTCAGCCCAATTGTTCAGCAGAATCCAAATGTTTGAACTGACAACTAATTAAAATTATATGTTTTTTAAATGATGTTTGATGAAACCATACAATAAAACTTCTGGAATGAAAAATTACAAAACACAAGAAGTTATCTGAGGTTTCCCTACACTGCACATCAACACTGTTGATGCCACTTGAGAGCCTTTTAACTTATAAGAGACACCCCACCCCCACCCCAAAAGGAGTTTTTCTCTGTCTCTCCCTCTCCCCCTGCCTGCCCGCCCCCCTCCCCATCTGTCTCCCAACTTTCTGAGCCAGTGGAAGAAGCGATTCAGACCTTTAAGGTAGAAGTTTTCTGTTTTATTCTGTCTGTAATGGGGGTAAGCACATCTTCCAAACTGCCACATTAAAAATCTGTTTGCAGCAGGTGCACTGTTTAAAGTTCTAGAGCTCTTGCCCCGCTTTTCTGCAGAGCGCGATCACAGGAAGGACATTTACAAAACAGCCCGAAGGAAAAGCTGACATAGCTTTTTAGATTCTATCTCATTCTTCTTTTTCTTTTCTGTGCAGCCTTTCTTTTACAGCACAGTCGAATCCCTAAATAGTCTGCTGCTTTGCATTGTTAGGTCGCCTCTTAGGTTAGCCAGAGAAAGCCTGAGAAAAGTTCCGCAGGAAAGATGCTCTATTTAACGGAATTCAATCTCTCCCAATAGATTTGAATCACTAACATAAATGTATGAATGTAGATTATATCTCTGTAATGAGGCCTGAATCATTCTCAGTTACTTCAAAGGACTGAAACCCTACCTTCCTTTTTTTTGCAGCAATAATCAGGTCTTAATGGGTTCCTTTATTAATTGTTTCTCTGCAGCAATTGAAAAGGACAGTACAAGCTTCAGATTAGAGTGAGACCTACTCATTCTAAAAGGCTGTTTTTCTCTTTCTTTTCCCAACCTCTGGAAGGCATGCTTTATTTCTATGCCCAAAACAGCTCCAGTAATATTAGGCTACATCTTGATTTGGGGGAACTAGATGTGGCTTTTTGTTAAATGTGATTCCTTGAGAAATGATGGAGGCTTTTAAAAGCGAGGCAGTGACAGCGGCCATTGAGAGATCTTAGAATGTGGCCATTTAACCTCCAAGGGGCAGTTGGCCTCTGTGCTTGCAGATCCTTCTTCAGTAGCTATTCTGCTGGAGCAGTTTATGTTTTAAGTATGTGTTTCCTGGATTCTCTCTGTTCCTGGGCACTCTCTGGGGTTTGGTTATAAGATGTGTGTTCTATTATGTGTGATGTTATTGGCAGTGTCAGTAGCTGATTCAAATAGTAACTAAGTAAGGTCAAAAGCCAGCCAAGCTGTTCGACAAAGTAGACACGTGCAGGCCTCATTTGTAAAACCTGCGGTGCAGCCCTCACGGGTATGTCAGTGCGAGCAGGCAGCCCAGGATCCCTTTGGACGCGGAGGATGATGCTTAGAGTCAGTGACATTGGGGGCCAATAAAATAGTGATACCTTATTAGTTTTTTAAACTAGAGATATTTCGTGAAAGGACAAGAGGTCTTAGCTCACAGAGAGTAAGTAGCGCAATACTTCAAAGCCAGTAGGGATCTTAGCAATTGAATTCCTCTCATTCATTTTAAAAATGAGTGAACTGCACCCAAGTCAGTCAGTGGAAGAACGGAGTTTAGGCCTCAGGCGCAGGGCTCCAGGCTGTTGTCCTACTGTTTCGTAAAGCACCTGTTCTGTTTTCTTTTTTCTTCTTCTCCCTCCCTGCTCCTCTTCTCCTATCACTGACCACTCGTGGTTCTAGCATATCTTAGATGCCAGAGTAGAAGTGATAAAAAGGTTGTAAGGCTTTTCTTAGGGAAGAACAATGTATCTTTGTGGCAAAAAAATTAGCCACAGAAAAGTAATAAAATAATTTAGTATTGAATTATTCAGTACCAGTTGATTAGCCAAATAAACAGTGGTACATATTTGGCAAAGGGGGCTCTTTTATCAAAGCTCATGAAATGGAAGCAATTAGAAAGCAATTCATAGCACATATTTTCAGAATATTCAAAGATTTTTTTTCCCATAAAACCTGAATTTATAAGTTCTTCAAGTTGATGGCATCTTCTAGAAAATAAATTTATAATTTGATTTTGCATTCTGTATTCTCATATTAAATTTTTGTATGATATTTCAAAGCAT